TCCCATTTCTGGGGGTTCAGTGTAAGGCCCTGCCCAGAGGTCCCATCACTGAAGGGTTCAGCGTAAGGCCCTGCCCAGAGGTCCCACCCCTGGGGGTTCAGTGAGTACTCCGTGGTGTAAGCTGTCTCCTGTCTCCCTTGGCAGCCCGCAAGCTGCAGCAGCAGCGAGCCCTTCTGTTGGAGGAGGAGGCCGAGGAGGAGGAAGAGGAGGTGAGGCAGGTGCCCGAGGCCGTGCAGTCCAGTGTCATCATCGAGGGTGTCGAGTACAAGGTCGAGAGGCTGAATGGAAGGGGCATCCAGGCTCCAGCAGCTCGGTAAGACAGGACAGGACTACAGGTAGCCCTGTACCACCCACATATGTCAGAGGCGTCCCAGGAATTCTCAAGGAAGAGAGTGGGCTGGATTTCTTTTTCTGCACAGAAAGGGACAACTTTCCAGCTCTGTCTCTTCAGGGAACAGCTCGTTCAGCCATGCCAGAGGGTGTGTAGAGAGGTTGATTTTTAGAGACAGCTGATTCAAGATAAGCTGAATGCTGAACCAAGTTGGAGGTTTTTTAGACTTTTGTTTCCCAGTTCTCTGGGGCTTGGCCTCCACATTGTCTTGAAGGTATTTTTCTAATTCTTGGGCACAGAACTGAGGAATGAGAAAAGGGTTCTCAAAGGCTCCAGATAAAATAAGGCTGCACTAGAGTGAAGCTGAAGCCGTCCTTATCTCTCTTTGGAGTCTTTGGAACAGACATTCTCCTCTCCACAAACACTTCCCAGTCACAGTGGCTGAACATATTGACCCTGGTATGTGGAATCTTATTTCTCTCTGTTGTTTCTGCCCAGTCTCAGTTCAGGAACTTCTCACACGATGATGCCCTGAGAATTCCCCCTCCTGTGCTGAGGCATGTGCTGCTCCTTGGTTTTTTGGGAAGTCCCACTCACCCCCGTTTTCATATTGAGACGTAGGAGGCTGAAGTACAGGAAGGCTGGATCCACCAGATGATTTTCAGTTGCTTATTATTTACGCTTGAATATGGGGGAGGCAGTGGAAGAGGCTGAATTTGTGTTTCTTGAAATAATTTTTCTCGTGCTAGAACAGAAACTGAAATTTAACCAAAATAAACTTGAGCAGTAAAAATCAGGGCTGAGTGTCACAATAAACTGAACACCCCCAGCTCTATCAGCCTGGCTCCAGACCAGAGGAGTTCCAGCTCTCAGAGCAGCTCTGTGGCCCATCTCGTGGAAGAATTTAAAATATATTAAATTAATCTGTTAATGAAGGTATAGAATCAGGATCAGGTGACCAGTGCTTCCAAAGTGAATCTCTCTTGGACTCCTCTGTTTGGAATGCCTTTGTGCCACATCTTACAAAGCCAAGTGTGAAGTCCAAGTTCCCGGGACTTAAGGGAGAGATCCAGAGGAAAAGAAAGCCCAACAAATATTTTTATTAAAAAAACTGAGGCAAAAATTCTGTGTGTGCGTCTGTTAGTGGCTGGCTGACCTCCAACTGCAGGAAATGAGCTCTGATGTTAGTGTGGACATTTAGGAGATCCCCATGGGAATGCTCACAGCAATGGTGGAGGGGATGCTGAGCAAAGCCATGGAGGGCTGTGACTTCACCTTGAACCATTTGTTGCTTTCTGGGGGTGGACCTGTCCCACCCTCTCTAGGTGTGCAGACTGTGGTGCTGCAGCTCACAGGGTTGTTTTCTGCAGGCCCTCGGAGCTCAGTGAGAACAGCAACTTGCAGAGGAATTCTCTGGAAGAGGGGATTAAACCTGAGCAGAGAACCAACTCCATGTCAGGGTGAGTGGGGCTGCTGGGGCAGGGACTCGATAGTTCCTGCTTTTTAGCAGCCAGAGGCTGCAAAGGAAGGATTTGGTGGAGAGAGGGAAACTGATTGGGACCAACTTCATAGAATCCCAGGATGGGCTGGGTTGGAGAGACCTTCAAGACCACCTGGTTCCAACCCCATGTGGGGATTGCCAAGGGCAGTTGGTCCAAGCCCCATCTAACCTGAAACTCCTTATGAGAAACTCCCGTGTGTCCTGTGTCCTCCCGGGGTGATACCCGTGGATGTGGCACTGAACAGGTGATTGGGGTGTCACTCGCAGGCAGGTGAGCTGTGTGGACCCCGCCATCCTCCCTCTCACCCCTCCTCTCCCTGCCCAGGCTGAGCCCGTCGTTCCCGGGGGATCCCGGCGCTCCGGTGCGGACGGCCAAGGCCGAGCGGCGGCACCAGGAGCGGCTGCGGATGCAGAGCCCGGAGCTGCTGAGCGGGCAGGAGAAGGAGAAGGAGCTGTCTCCAGCGGAGCGCCGGGCGCTGGAGGCTGAGAAACGGGCCATGTGGAGGGCAGCACGGTGAGCCAGAGCCTCCACTGCCTCTGCGCCGGGCTGAGCACAGAGCAGGAGCTGCTGCGTGTCTGGGGCTTACAGGGAACAAAACTGGGGAATGGAGGACCCTTCCAAAGGCAGGTGTTGAGGGAGGTCATGAAGGATCGGTTCAAGCCATGCAAAGCACCGCTGAGCTGAGCTGAGCTTGTCTGCTTCCAGGGGGCTCCCAGATTCCCAGAGTGCTTGCACGTTCGTGGACACAGGGGAGTTCATGACAAGCATGAACACACCTGTGAACGATGGTGGGTGTGTTCCTTCCCTCAGCACACAATTCCCACCTCCTGTGTCACCTGTGTGCAGTCGTGTTATTGAAGCTGCAAGGTCACATATTCAAAATGAAAAATGGGATTCCACATATCCAGTGGTGCTGGGCTGGAAAACTTGCTGCAGCCAAAACATTGATAGGATGAGGCCATTTTTACCCCCACAAGCTATTCCATCAGCATGAAGGAGTGATTAAAAATTCTTCTGGAAGAAAGAGAACTTCCTAGCTCAGAACCTAAGACTTGAAGCTAGTCCAGCCATTTACTGTGTCATAGAATTCCTTCCAAAGATTAGTCAGGCTGCTCCCATAACTAACAATAGTTTTCTTCCCCTGTTGTTCCTGTAGGAGACATTCAAAGGACAGTCTGAACTGTCTTTTGGGTTTGGATGAGGCTTGAAGAGGAACAGGGCTGCTAGATAAGATACTGGAAGGATAACCATGAGTTGTGATCCCACTTAGCAATTCCAGTGTTTCTGCTTAGACATGGATGATCACAGGCTGTTGCTGCTGGGGAGGCTCCAGGAATGGAGAAGTGCCAAGTGAATCCTCAGTCAGAGCTGGACTGCTGTTCCAGGGCTTTGAGAGTACAAGCCTCTCTGTGCAAATTTTCTTTGAGATCAGTTTTCATAGAATCCCAAGATGGTTTAGGGAAGTGACCTTCAAGACCATCCAGTGCCACCCCCTGCCATGGGCAGGGACACCTTCCACCAGCCCAGGTTGCTCCAAGCCCCGTCCAGCCTGGCCTGGAACACTTCCAGGGATGGGGCAGCCACAGCTTCTCTGGGCAACCTGTGCCAGGACCTCACCCCCTCACAGGGAAGAATTTCTTCCCAATATCCCACCTAACCCTGCCCTCTGTCAGTGAGAAGCCCCTCCCCTTTGTCCTGTCACTCCAGGTCCTTGTCCTCCAGCTCTCTTGGAGCCTCTTTAGGGACTGTCCTGCTCTGCTATATCCTTCCTTATGAGGTTGCAGAGACCACCAAGTCCCTTGTGCTGCAGGTACTCCGAGAGGGCTGGAATCACACATCTGTCTCTGGGAAGGCTGTGGAATGGTGCCAAAAGCAGCCGTCAGTGTGACACTGTGCGAGCACCACAGCGTCCCCAGGAGCAGACAACCTGCACAGAACTGTACTCAGTCTTTGGACCTAAGAAAAAAGCTTCACTCTTGTATTTAAGCCGACAAACCAGAAACTGCCTGTCAAGCTTCTCCTGGAAATCCACATCCCTGTGCTTGGAGAGGGGTAGGGCCTGATTTGCCATCTCTTCCCAATGAGACATGCAGGAGTTTCACTCCCTTGTGCCTCCATTTCCCAGGCGCATTCCCCACACGAAGGGGCAGTTTTTGTGAGGTCTGTCAGTTTTGATTCGTGCCTAAGCATGAACATATCCAAGGAATGCTGTAATAGAAGCTTTTTTTTGCGATGGGTGTCAAAAGGAGAAACAGGACATTGCCTGCACAGACCTCTGGAAGCAAAGTAGAGTCCCTGCAGGGACACTGCTCATGTCCCAGGTGTGCAGCTCTGATCTTGGGACTCTGCTCTTCCAGGAACTTGGTGTTGCCAGCAGATAAACCTGAAAAATGCTGGGAGGGGGCAGGATGGTTTTAGGACACGATTTGCTCCTGTAACATTACTGTCCATCTGACCGTGCTCTTGGGCCAGATGGGATTTGGCTGGAATTGTTCAGGGCTCAGGAGAAGTTCCACATGACACCGTAGGAGGGTTAGTGAGTGTGGAGCACCAAGGGTGCACCTGTGGGCAGGGAAGAGATCTCTCATCCCAAACCTTCAGTCTCTTCTCTTCTAAGTGTGTTTTGTCTGTTGAAAAAAGAGGCTAGCAAAGGTGGAGCCTTCCAGAGGTGGGAATACCTGGCAAGGACGAGCTGCTTGAGCTGTGAGGTCGTACATTACTGGGTTTAAGTTCTGCAGACCAGGGCCTAAGCTCTGCTTTGCTTCTGATGCCGAGGTGCAGCTTTTTGTGCAGTTCTTGGAGAAGTGCCTGGCTGATGCCTTGGGCAGGAATCAGTCAGTCACCATAATGTGCTCCTTTTTGTAAGACAAGGAGGGACAGGTCTCTTAGGAGGATCCGGTAGTCTCATGGTCCCTCTTCCCTGGCTCTGGAGCAGGCGCAGCGCCATGAGGGCAGGCAGGCTCAGGTCCTGTCTCCAGAGGCCCCTGTGCTGTGGGGGGGGGTTCTGCACAGCCCCGCACACGGGGCTCAGCCCCACTAACCCTTGTTCTCTCCAACTGCCACAGGGTTTGTTCCTCCTTTTCTAATCTCCTGTCTTCTGCTTCTTTCCAGTTCTCTGCTCTGTGCTGTCAATCATGACCCCATCAGTTTGCACCTTCTTGGGCTTTCCCTGTTCTCCCTGTGTCATCAGTGCTCTGCCAGGATGTGTGATGCCCCTCCTTTTCCCCCTGGCACCCCCGTACTCTGTTGGGACGCACCCAGAGACCCGTGTTACACACCTGTTGTGGGCACACACAGCCCCTGGCATAGAGTCATGGAATGGTTTGGTTTGGAAAGGACCTTAAAGCTGATCTGGTTCCACCCCTCTGCCACGGGCAGGGACACCTCCCACTGTCCCAGGTTGCTCCAAGCCCCGTCCAGCCTGGCCTTGGACACTTCCAGGGATGGGGCAGCCACAGCTTCTCTGGGCACCCTGTGCCAGGTCCTCCCCACCCTCACCGAGATTTTCTTCCCAGTATCCCATCTAACCGTACCCTCTTTCAGTGGGAATCCATTCCCCCTTGTCCTGGCACTCCAGGCCCTTTAGCCATGGGAACAATGAGGTCCAGAGGCACAAGTACAAGCTAAGGGGCAGGTGCCCAGCCAGGGCTATGAGCATTTTGGCGGTTTTCCTCCCACACACACACTGGTTTAGGGACTCTCACCCCTCAATGACACGTGTCCCAGGGCAAACACCATGTGTCACGTGCTTAGCCATATTGTTCCTCTTTTCTATGGTCCAACAAAGGTGCCTGGAACAGGTGATCAGGTACCTGTGCAGGTGTGCACTGAGAGACCGTCCTGTGTGTGGCACACACCCTCCCTTGCCCACACCCCTCAGTCTGACACACTCACACACTCTGTGAATGCCTCACAGCCTTTCCTGGGGGTCTGAAGGTGTTCCCAGTCTCCTCCCAGCCCGGGGGGAGGGCAGCTCTGGATGTGGGGTCTCTGAGCCTGATGCTCCTGGGCACGCTGCCAGATTGCCCCTGGGGGTTCCTGCTGCCTTGACAGTGGCCAAGGTTGAGCAGGATCAGATCTAGAGCTCAGTTTAACCAAGGCTGCCCTTGTGTCAGACCCATATTTCCCCTCACCAGGGTATGTTCCTGTATCTGTTTCTTTCTTTCCCTGCGCTTGTCCGCTGCGATGTTCATCACCATCATCTCCTCTTCCTCCTCTTCCTTTTCCTCCTCCTCTTCCTTCTCCTCCTCCTCCTCCTCCTCAGATCCTCAGCTCTTGAAGACAGTATTAAACAGTACGAGCAGGATCTGGCCAGGAAGCTGTACCAGTCCCGGCAGTGGGCATCTGCTCCTGGGGCCAGGCCAGCTCAGATGTCTAGCCCAGTGCAGAGTCACGCCTCAAGAATCCCTGGGTCAGGAGGCCAATCCAGGTGTGCACAGCCCCCTCCCCACAGCTGCATGCTCCTGTCCGTGCCCCTGTGCCCCAGCTGGGGCTTCCTGGGGCAGAAGGACATGGGAGTGGTCCCTGGTGTCCATTGCCCAGAGAACGAGGGGGGATGCTGGGGCTGTCTGATGGGGAGAAGGGTGCAGACGTCTCTGAGAATCGCAGACTGGTTTGGGTTGGAGGGACCTTAAAGATATCTTGGTCCACCCCCTGCTATGGGCTGGGACACCTTCCACCAGACCAAGTTGCTCAGGGTCCCATGCAACCTGGCCTTTCATGATCTCCTGATGGCTGAGGAGGGTTAAAATGCAACACACTGAGCACAGAGGACAATAAAGCCCCGAGGACTGACCCTACCTGTGTGATCCCTGCAGTTCTGTCCCCAGCTCAGGTCACTGTCCCATCACGTGGCACCTCTGGGACTGCCTGCAGCTTCTCAGTGCCTTGATGCATAGCTTCATGCTCTGTCTGTTTGACACATGGGATAATGTGTGTTTTGGGATGGCAGCCAGCCCAGCTGTCCTCCTGCCCTGCCTCGGGGACCCTCGGGGGCTTCGTTCCGCCCGTCTGCGCTCAGCCCGTGGGCTCGGGCCGGCTCCTGGGTGCAGACGGCGCGTGGTCCCCCACCGAGGGGGCAATGGCTGATGGTTTTTTCTCACCCCCCCATTCCTGAGGCAGGATGAAATCACTGGAACAGGACGCTCTTAAAGCCCAAATGGTTATTGCCAAGTCCAAGGAGGGGAAGAAACGCAGCACACTGGAGCAGCTGGCAGAGTCACCGTCGCCCGCTCCGACGCCGTCCCCAACGCCGCTGGAAGGTACTGTAGAGCTGCCAGTGCCTCCAAAGGAAACAGGCAGCACTCCTTGAGCTTAACCTGCTCAGGAGCAGAGCTGTGAGAAGCAATTCCCTCCTTCAGCCTGGTTGGAAGGTCCTTGGGGGCATGTGATGTCTCTCAGCATAGGGAATGGGCCTGAGCTGTGGAACATATGAGGGCACCTGAGGCAGAGGTGAGGTTCCAGGGAACCAGGGCGGAAACACAGTCAGCATCCCGACTTGCTGAATAAGCAGGGAAGAGGTGTTTGTTGGGAAGGCAGAAGGCAGGGCCTGCCCTGAGTGTGGTCTCACCACACTGAAATGCTGCTGAGTGGAAAGAGCAGGCTCAGTGGGGGGGGTTGGATGTCACACAGCTGGTCACTAACTGTGCTTTTCTGTCACCTCTTGCAGATTGCAGCCCCAGGAACGTCACTTCCCCGGGAAGGCTGGTATGATGTCCTTCTGCTTGCTTTTGTCACCTCACCTTACCTAAATCCTGGGATTTCCTGATTATTCAGCTGAGCGTGGGCTGTGCCTTGGGCTGTGGGTTCCCACTTAAACCAGTCCTGCATGGTACAAGGAATGCTGAGGAGGGTGGAGGGTGGAGCTGTACCCCTGGCTAGAGGCACCGCCTTTGTTGCAGCTCCCATGTAACATCTGCTTTCTCTTTCCCCATTGTATTATGTCATTTGTTCCTTGGTTCTTCACCTCCATGTTCAGAAAGCTTTTCACCATAGTCAGAAAGCCTTTCCCCGGGTTCAGAAAGCCTTTCCTCATGCTCAGAAAGCCCTTCCTTGCTTTCAGAAGGCCTTTCACCACGGTCCAAAAGCTTTTCCCCTTTTCAGAAGGCCTTTCCCCATGTTCAGAACTACTTTCCCAGGTCCAGAAAGCCTTTCACTTCAGGGACTTTGCCCCGTGTTTCTTCAGCAGCATGAAACAGACCTTACAGACCTGCAGCTGCAATTAGCGTTTTCCTTTTCCTAACCCTGTGTAAATGTCAGGGGAGGTTGTTGCACAGAACTGTCAGGATCAGTGAGACAGACCAGGGGAAGCGTGGGAGCAGCTGCACAGAGGGGACCTGGTCCTGCCAGATCACACCATAATCTAGCCCTGGATTGGAACCCTGACTGTGCTCCAGCTATCAGGAATTCTGCCATGAATTTCCCAATGAAAATAGGTTTCCTACCTGACTTGATGTGCAGGAGCATTTCACTGGAGCATGTGATGTTTCCTGTGTGACTTGGAACCCCTGTCCTGACAATGGAACAGCTCCAAAGGCAGTGTCCCAGGGATACCCCATGTTCCAGGCTCTACCCAGGCACTCCTGGCTCTCCCCGAGGACATCCTTCTGCTTCTGCTGTGATCTCTGCATAGATTGCTCAGCTTGCTGCTGCTTCTCCCTTCATTTCTCTCCCCTTACTTTCTTCTCTGTTTCTTCCCTTCTGCTGTCCCTTCTAGTCCATGTCTGAAAAGAAGTTTGACTACCGGGAATTTGCTGCTATTCCTTCCTCCAAACCTGTTTACGAAATCCAGGTATAAACTGCATGCTGAGCCACCTTTAGATTGGTTAGGGCTTGGTTTGATGGAAGAGTTGAGTCTGAGGGCTTTGGAGAAACCCCCTGCAGAGGCCCTGCCTGTGTGGGGGCAGTGACACCAGCCTTGGTGAAATCTGAGGGTTTATTGGAGGCTTCAGACAAGTGGAATTGGAAAAAAGTTGGTCTAGATGGTTTTAAAATGAGTGACAAAAGCTTTGCAGATATAAAGCAGCTGCATCTTCACCTGAATGGGTCCTGAAATATTTTTAAGTGAAAAGTGAGAACTAAAAGGGAAGAAAAAGCTATAAAATTATTGCCACCAGAAGGCAAATTGGAGCAGATGTGAAATTCCAGCTGGATGTGTCTGGCATCCTGCCCAGGAAGCAGGATGGTGTCAGTTCTCATGTTCTGCTGTCAGTGAGCTGTGGAGGGAACACCCAGTTCCAAGGGTGAGCACCATGGCGAGGTGTTTCTCCTTCCTAAAATGAGCTCATTTAAGCTGCTTTGTCACAGAATCCCCGCTGGAACCACTCGCCCAGTGCTGGAAGCTATAACTGCCTGTGTCAGTCACTGATGGCATTTGAGCACCTGATTTGAGCAGATACCCTGTCTAAATGTTTTTAGGTGGTTTTTAGCTTTATATAAAGACAGTGAAGCAGATACCTGTGTGTGGAGAGCCAGCAAGCACTGCCACTTGGGCTTCAGCTTGCTGTGGGGCACAAAGATTGTTGTTCCAAAGCCAGGCTGGCTCCAGCAGGGCTGTGATTTGAGAATTCTCAGGCAGTTTTACGTGATTTGATGTCTGTTCTTCACTGGCCCCTCTCTCTGGTATTGCTCAGCCCTTGGAAGACACTCATCTTTTCCTCAGAATTCCTTCCTTTGGGATGTGCCCTTCTCCAGGTTCTGTACCAGGCAAGTTGGAGGACTGGCTGCTCAAGCCCTGTGGCAGCTCCAGACCACATGAATTACCCCAAGTGCAACAGTGGGTCTTCATACAGCTGAGAAGGTGCCTCCAAAGGAGGCTGCACCTCCAAATCCTCAAACAGTGCCTGTGGGCCTCTCTCAGCAGTGCAGGAGTTCACAGAATCCCAGAATGTTTCGGGTTTGGAGGGACTTTAAAGCTCTTCTCATTCCACCCCCCTGCCATGGGCAGGGACACCTTCCATTAGCCCAGGTTGCTCCAAACCCTGTCCAATCTGGCCTGGAACACTTCTGGGGCAGCCACAGCTTCTCTGGGCAACCTGTGCCAGGGCCTCTCCACCCTCACAGGGAAGGATTTCTCCCTCATATCCAATATAAATTTTCCCTCTTTCAGCTTAAAGCCTTTTTGTCCATTCTTTATATTTTCTGTCTTCTGTGTCACTCCCTCTTCTCCCTACACACAGGTCAGGCAGCAGGGTTCATTTGGAATCAGGAGCCCTCTCTGAGGGCCGTGCCCCAGCTTTGGCAGCACCAGCACCTCCGAGGGCAGCAGATTCTCCATAGGGTGTTGGAAGGCTGGAGGTGGGGAATTACCTGGCACAGGTGTTACAGGGGTGGATGGTCACGTTTGCTGTTCTCTTCCAGTCACCTGATGCAGCTGATGACCTCAGATACGTCGACGACCGAAATAATTCAGGTAAGCCCATGGCCAGAGGAGTTGTCTCTGTACTATTCGCTCCCCACCACGGTTCTAGAGGGTTCCCCTTTGCTTGTGGAACTACCCAGAAGACTTCACCTTCTTCTGCTTGACACAATGTCCTGTTTTGTCTGTTCTAGAATGAAAACTCCACACTCACCACATTCATTTTGGGTAGGATATTTGCATTGTGCTTTAGTGATGACTAATTTGCCCAGCATGGTGTGTAACAAGCATGCCTGGTTTTCTCCAGATTTGTGTCCTGGAGTAGAGTGGTAGTAGGATGTGGTGGGGAAGTTTTGGCCTCTGTCACCTGCTAGAGCTGAATGATGTCCATTGTTCAGGGGCTGCCTTGTGCCCCTTCTGCTGGAGAGGGAATCATGGAGGTAAATCCATCCTGGTGCAGACTTGGAGTGCTTGCTGCTCCAGTACCTGGGTGGCTCCAAGTTATGCCTGTGGGTCTGTGGCATAGTCACCTCAGTCAGCAGGAATTAAAGCTCTGCAGCTGTGTCTGCAGGCTGTCCAGCTGGGGTGTGTCTGTCTGTCCCCAGCTGTAAGGACAGGTCAGACTGTCCCCCGGTTCATTCCAGGGGCTGTAGCAGTCCTGTGGAGCTCAGCAGAGCCCACCTGCTCCGTAGGAGCACTCCTGTTTCTCCAACAGTTGGTGCTGATTTGCTTCTACCTGTTTTGCAGATTTCCCCCCTATATTTGACACAAGAAACAGTTTCTTCTATCTTGACAAATCCTTCTGAGTACAGGCTGCACCCTGGACAGCTGACCTATGGCTGGGCTGTTTCCAGAAGAAGGTTCTGCTGCAGGACTTAACAAAAACTTACTTTCCTGAGAACAGCAGCTGTTCTCCATCCCTCAGAGTCATCCTCTCAGCCCTGGATTATTCTCTTGATGTCATCCATTCAGTCAGTGCAGGGAACTGGGAGCTCATGGTAGGTCTGGGAAATACCAGGTATTGCTCAGGGCCTTCAGACCACACTGTTGCCTGACACTGCTCTGTTGGGCCCTCAAACAGGGTGAAAACCAGGAAGAAAAGAGTATGGTGCTCACTGAGAGTTTTTTAACCTAGTCCTTAGTCCTTAAGTAATCCTTAAGTCACCTGCGATATGTGTGAGGCACCAAACAAATGCAAGTTTTCTCAGCTGGCAAGGATGGCAGGTGAGGATGCAAGTAAACTCTCTTGGGATGGGACAAAGCTCTCCTGTTTTTTTTAAATCCCCCCCCATCTCATTCTTCTAGGCAGTGCAGCATCCCAGCCAACATAAATCAGAATTGTTCTTGATCATGGAATCATGGCTTTTTGACTCATAGCAACTCTTAAACTTCGCCAGTGTCTACAGAAAGCTCTCCCAGTGCCTGCAGAACCATCATCTTATTTAAGGATAGTGCATTTTTTTATGCAGTCAGGATTCTATTCCTTTTATTGAGTTTAAACATCATCCAGTACTGTAAAACTGAACTTACTGAGTCAGCACAAGGCTCTGCCTGATCCTGTAGCAGATCTGGGGTCCAGTGGGAGCCACTGGGAATGCCAGAAAAGGACATAAAAGAAGAAGAGCAGGAAGTGGTTCTTTCCAGACCTGCTCCAGGCTGCAGTGATTGGTGGGTTTGCACTTTCTAAGCCAGAGGCTTTGACTTTAGAGTTCTTTCTTTCCTGAATCTATTCACACTTGCAGTAAATTTCCCCTTCCCCATCATTTCCCCCTGAACTCCATGGATCATGATGCACTTTGTTATAGCTGAGCTTCATTTGACTCCCTGACACAGCTTGGTGGCATCACAAGTTTCTCCCAGCACAACCTTCATCACTCCTTCTCCTCCTCATTAGTTGCCAGATGCTGACCCTGGTAGGGTCCTGGATGTTGTGGTATTAGGTAGCCCCTTCCTGCCCTTTTCCCATGGTTTCACCATTTATTTGCCCACCAAAGCTGCCCCATGGCAGCTTGTTTTCAGTAGAGCTTTGCCTGGGGAACAATCCAAGGGTTTTTAAAGCTCAGTGTGCTGTGTGGGGATCACTAAACCTGCATGTTTGGGGGTTCTTTTGGCCAATTCCAGCCTTGGGGGGTCTGAAAGAACTGACTTCCCTCCAAGCCACAGGATTTTCTTCTCCACCCACCCACCCAGGCTGGATTTTTCCTGCATGTGCCCATGACTTCCTTTTATATCTGTTTGTCTTGTCTGGGAATCAGTTACCTGCTTCCCAACCCCAGTGTCCTGTCAAGGGGTTGGACAGGCTGGGAGAGCTGGAAGTGGTCACTGTGGAGAAGAGAAGGCTCTGAGGAGACCTTAGAGCCTCCCTCTGACAGAGGGACTCTTCCAGTGCCTAAAGGGGATCCAAGAGAGCTGGAGAGGGACTTTGGACATGGACCTGGAGTGCCAGGACAAAGAGGAAGGGCTTCCCACTGACTGGCCTGGCTCTGGAGCAGAGGGTCAGACTGGAGACTGGGCACAGCTCAGCAGACTGAGCCTTTTATCTGACATATCTTCATGGATTTCTCTATTCAAAGTTCTCTGGTGCATCCAAAGGCTTTAGAGAGGCTTCCCAGGAGCCCATTTGCACTTGAAGCTCGTGGATTGTCTATGCCCTGCTGGGTTGTCCCTCCAGCAGATATTGGGGTAGTTGAAGTCTCCCATGAGGACCAGGGCTTGTTAATATGAGGCTGCTCCCATCTGTCTGTGGAGGCCTCATCCACTCAGTCTTCCTGGTCAGGAATGTCACCTGTCCCTTCAATCCTGACCCATGAGCTCTGGTTGGCTTCTCACCCCTCACCAGGTGCAGTTCCAGCATCCACCTGGGCACTGACATAGAGTGTGACCCCCACTTCATCTCCCCTGCCTGTCTGTCCCCTAAGAGCCTCCAGTGCTCCAGTCACAGGAACCATCCCACCACATCTCTGTGATGCCAGTAAGTTTAAAGCCCTGACCATCTGGGCCAGTCTGTGACTGAAGATGCTCCTCCCCCTCACTGACGAGGGACTCACTCACCCCCTGCAGACCTGGGTCCGTGGTCTGGACAGCAGAAGCCTTTCAGGACACTCAATTTTTCCTAAGGCTTGGCTCTTCCAGTCATCTTCCAGTGAATGGTGGGTGTTAGAGGCAGGTGTCTTCTTACTCATGGGACTTTCTTCCCAGGATCCACAGTGGTCACTACATGACCTACACCAGAAAGTTCTGGGCACAAGGTTACTGTGAGTCACTGAGACATCAGTGCTGTCCCGAATCTAGCACCTGGAAATAACCCTGGAATACTCCCTGGAAGTGCCCAAGGCCAGGTTGGACGGGATGTGGAGCGGTCTGGTCTAGTGGAAGGTGTCTCTGCCCATGGCAGTGGGTGGAATGAGATGAGCTTTAAGGTCCCTTCCCACCCAAAGCAGTCTGTGATCCTGTGATACCCTAAACATCTGCATTAACTGTGCCAGCTGAGCGCTGACAGAACCACGGGATGGTCTGGTTGGGAAAGGACTTTACAGATCACCCAGTCCCACTCTCTTCCCTGAGCAGGGACACCTTCCACTATCCCAGGTTGCTCCAAGCCCTGTCCAACCTGGCCTTGGACACTTCCAGGGATGAGGCAGCCACAGCTTCTCTGGGCAACCTGTGCCAGGGCCTCCCCACCCTCACAGGGAAGGATTCCTTCCCAATATCTTATCTATTTTAACCCCATGCTTTCTCTTCAAACCTAAACATCTCTTGTCTTTGCAGTTCCCCGGGAGCAGGATGGACAGCCAGAGGAAGAGGACACGTTAGGAACACGGGATCCATCAGCACCAACTCCCTCAGCCCTGGAGGACATGGCCCTGTACAGCAGCAAGCGCAAGCTCCGACACAGCCGGCGCAGTTTGGAGACCGCTGTCCCCACGTAGGTGACCCGACACACCCGGGCGATGGACAAGCCCGGCACAGCCCTTCCAAGCTTCCCGTGCTCCAGGGACAGCACCGGGCTGCCACCCTGCTGCCTCCAGACTGGATGGGACCTGAGCACCCCGGGAGCTCTGTGGCCAACTGACTCCTCCGAGGCTGTGAACCACCCTCGTTTCTCACCCGACAGCGCACTGGGGCACGTCCCAAAAACGGGGCAACACTGGACTGACTGCTGGCAGATGGAGAGGAGGGGTGGGCAGGACAGTGGGCAGCTCGTTAGCCTGTAAATATTGTGTGTGGGGAAGGGTAGGACAGGGAGAATGTAGGAGTGTGAGAGTGTGTTGGGCTCCAGCTGTTACTGCCTCAACTTCATTTTTGTAGTGGTTAAAAGGAGCTTTTCCTCTGGTGGGAATCAGGAGGAAGGTCCAGCCTGCCTTTACTCCTATTTAATTTTCAGTTTTTTGCCAAAAAGCATCTCCTCCCACACTTCCTGCACTGTGTCACCTCACTTCCCTTTGGGAGCGTGTGGGAATGGGAAGCTTGGAGGCAAAAAAAAAAAGGAAACACAAAGGAAAAAAAAACCTGCAAAATTCCAGCAAAGTGCCTCCCTCTGCCACTGACACTCTGTGCTCAAGGAACATGCCAAAGCCTGGGCCAGCTCTGAGCCACCTGCCTCTGTCCTGGTGGGACACTGCTCCTGCTGGGACTCTGTGCAGTCCTGGGGACAGGTCCTTCCCTGGATGGACACGTCACTGTGTGTGAGCAGCTCCACGAGCACACAAGTGTCAGAGGAGGCCAGGCTCTGTGTTCTGTAGCACTGGGACTGAACTGGTGGACTGGGGCAGGAATGGGACGGAGCCAACAGCTGTAGCAGGGGTTTGGGGGGGTGTGACAGCAGTGGGGAGCAGGATAGTTGGGGTAGGACACGGTGGCAGAGGTGGGAGGTGTGACAGCAGTACCTTAGTGGGTAGGATTCAGAAACTGGGAATGGGTAGGACGTGGTGTTGCTGGGGTCAGGTTGGGAATTACGGGGTCTTACAGGTAGGAAATCTGGTGGGGAGTCCACAGTGTCCATGGCTGGCTGCGAGGTGCAGTGGGGTGTCACGGGGTGCCTGGCGTGGGGCTGGCAGGGAGCACCAGGAGCACCACGGAGCAGGATGGGGCTGGCCTGTGCCTTGCAATAACTACACAGTTCCACTTTGCCAGCTTGTTGGCTTCAGGCCCCTTTCCGTGGAGAACAGGGACAATGAATGTTTGCCCATGCAAGAGGGAAAAAGGAAAATGAAAAATGAGCAGGGATGTGAGTCCTGGGTGTGAGTTCTGGTTTCCACATGTGGAACGAGGGCTGAGAGCAGGTTCTGTATCACGTGAGCTCTGCAGATGTGGAGGTCACAGCTGCTGCTCCCAGCTTTGCCATCAACCTCTGCTGCCACTACTGAGGGGAAACAGCCCTTTTCTTTTTTTTTTTTTTCACTGCCTCTAACTGGGAGGAAGGTCCGAGGTTGGCCCGATCCCATTCCCCGTCCATTGGTGCTCTCTGACTCCCCAGCAAGACCAGGGTTGGACCTTGAGCCTCACAGTGGCTGGGCAGCAACAGGCACATCTGCTTGTACATTTGCTGAAGGAAAGAACTGGATGCAGTTTTTTTGTTGAGCCTCTCCCTTCATGCCAAAATCCAGTGGATCATTTTAACTGGCACCGTATGCTTTGATTTTACAGATCTGTGAAGGGGGAACTCTGATAATCTCTCACTGCAGCCATGGCTGCTTCCATCATCAGCAATTTGAGCTTTTCCTTTTTAAATCTAATTTTAGCATTTGCTTTTTAACAACAGCAGTTTTGGAAACAATCCTGGCTGGGTTTTGGTGACTAACTTGTGATTCTTCTCTCCTTTCCCTGTGCGGTACCTGGTGCCAGGCTCTGGGTTCTTTCCCGTTCTCTCCCAAGAGACTCCAAGGGAAAATTAGCGCATCAAGACTGTAACTAGTGAAATTTGTACAACCAAAGAAATCTATTTTGTGGTTCAAGGATAATAAAGTTTACTTTACATTTTAGAGCCTTTAGTCAGTGTGGTTTGCTCTGTGTGAAGTCTGCAATTTTGGTACCAACACTTTGGTGGTGCAAAGATGCTTCTGATTTTCCTGCTTTTGGGAGCAGAAATTAATGCTCACCCAAATCAATGCCAGTTGTGAGAATATCAAAATTCAGGGATGGGAAAAAATCCAGTATGAAACACAGTGATACCAGCAGGATACCACCAAGATCTTCAGCCTCTTGGCTCTCCTCACTTGACTCTGTTTAAAAAAAACTCCAACGCTATTTTGTTTTCATTATTAAGTTTTAAAAAATATAGTTTGACTGGTAAAAACTGAACCCATTTCCTGTAGCCCAAACAGGTTTTCCTTGGTCTGGCTTAGTGGATGGGCACCATGCTGTGCCAGCCCAGGGAAAGAGGTGCAGCCTCAGCAGGGAGAGGGTGGAATTCCTTTTCCTAGAGCCAGGGTAGTGCCAGACCTCAGCCTCATTCTCCCACCTGTGCAACAGGTGCAGCTGGAGAAGGGGCCTTGGCTGCACCCCATGGTACCTCAGGAACAGCCTTGTCCTAGGTCAGCATGAGGGGTTCAGGATCTGAAGTGCAGCCTTACACAGGCTCAATACACAGGTCCTTTCCTGGGTTTAATGTATCTGTTTTCTCCACATTTAGTTTCCTTGGGCCAAGTTTACTACCAGGTTTATCTCCTTGTCCATATAATTTACACAACTGAACCCCGAGTAGCACATGGGCAGTAGTTACCCCATCAGACAAAAGTAAACACAGGAACTTGATCAGTGGAGATAACTTTTTTAGGGTTTTTATTTAGGAATATTTATTTAGGTATTATTCATGTAGGATTGGAACTAGGTGGTCTTTAAGGTCCCTTCCAACTCCAACCATGCAACGATTCTATGATTTTGTTATAAATAGGAATAGAAATAACACAGTTAAATATATAGGGAGAATGCAAAGATCTTCAAGGTTGCACAGAGACAAAGCACAACTGGCTGGGTGGAAGGTTTACAAGAAAGACTCTTGCAGCTGAATGTCTTGTGTAGCAGCAGTGACTCACAGACGTGCTCTGGGAGTTGGAGGGAATGTCGTATCAGGACACAGCTCTAGGTGTGAACCTGCATAGCCTGCCCCTCAGGTCCTGCTAAATGCAAGTTTTCTTGGTTTCAGGAGTCAATCCTGTCTGGTATTGGTGCACAAGGTGAGAGATTCCCGTGCTCCTTCCCTGCATTTCCCTCCATATATAACAGCAGGCAGGTGTCTGGAATACCAATAGGATTCTCTTTAAGGACTGTCTGCTGACAGAGAGAAGGGGCTGTCATGGAAGCTGCAAACCACAAATTTAGCTGTGTGGAGTCATCTCTGGGAAACCTGCCCCTTGGAATACCTGGGATAACCAGAGGGTGGAGAACGCTGGTTTCCAGCCTTGTCCTCCTGCTACCAGCTGCTTCTGGAAACAAATGGCTGGAGGAGATAAAGCTGTGCTTGTAATTCAGTGCCACTTCTGCTGCTGGTACGTGTGGTTTTGGTTGACTCTGTGCTTACAGTCACCATTAGCAACACCATGAAAGACCTCAAAGCCGGAGTACTGCAGGATCCCCCCCACGCCACAGCCATCACCACGGGAGTTTGGTTTGCCCATCTTATTAGGGCCTTGGGCAAAGCCACCTCATGGCCTCCAGGTTCATGTGTCCTACTGAATCATGTCTTGACACCACAGGAAAGAGCTTATCCAGATGGGAACAGCCCATAGCTGACTGCGCCTGGATACAGAGCAGGTACTGTCCTGCTAGGAAAAATGAACCACACACCTAAACCAAAACACACACTAAAGCCTGTTGCAAAGTCTGTACCAGCCCCCAGAGAGCCTTCCTGACTTACGGAGACCCAGCATCCCACAGCCCTTTCTGTAAGGACAAAGTAAATATCCCCTCCCCACCATAAAGGGACGATTCCTTGTTTTCTGCAGCCAGACACCACCTGCCCCCACCCCAACCTCATTCCCCTCCTTTGAGTTTTCCTCTGCTTTTCCTTTTACCCCATGAGGTGACCAAGGCACAAGCTGCTTTCACACCTTGTACCAAAGGCAGTAATTAAAGCATTACTGAAATCAGCCTATTTCACTCGGAAGTGAAAGCAGGCTACAAATAAGTGCTCAGATAACTGGCACCTGTATCTTACCTGCTGGGAAGGCAGGCTCATGGAGGTTCCTTTTCTGGCCATCCCAGTGGTCTTCTCCATATCAGTAATATTGTGATATCTTCTCACTGTATACAGATTAAATGACTCCAAACTCACTGTCCATTCCATGGAGTTTGTCTCCAGCATCTCCAGCAGCACATCATCCCTGTTCTAATCACATCTCTCCATGCAGAAACTAGAATTCCATATTCCATACAAAACAGCTGCAATGAGGGTAAATTTGGAGCTCTATTGCAACCCCATATTGCACTCCTGCTCTGGCGGCTGCACCTAAATATGAATTGACATTGACTGTAACTTCACTATTCCCTCTCCAAGAGAAACAACCGGCCTTTAATTACATCCTCCCCTTTGGTCCCAGTTTTGCTCATTCATACCTAAATCTGGTCCTTCCAGTTGGGTTCCCTGCTCACCTGCCTTTCCAAGGTGTCACTGATATGGTGACCTGAGAACTGTAGTCCTATTCTGCCCCACAACGTCCCTGGCACCCAGTTATCTGCAGCATCCCTCCTCTGTCCCTCACGGGGTTTCCCCTGAACTCACATGGAATCCAGCCACTCCTCCAGCCTTATTTGAGCTTTTCTCAGCTTCTCACCCTGGTACCTGCACATCTGGCAATTCCTCATGTCACATCCAGCGCTGTCTCATGTCCTGATGTCTCAGCCCCTGTATGAGAAAATCAAATTGGTCTTCGATTGATTACTGGGGTTTCTTCTAAGACGCAGATCTTACAATCATCGCCCTTGTCCATAGTCCCTCTCCAGCTCTCTTGGAGTCCCTTTAGGCACTGGAAGGGGTTCTGAGACCTTCTCAGAGCCTTCCCTTCTTTGAACAAGGGCTGGAGTGACAGGACAAGAGGGAATGGATTCCCACTGCCAGAGGGCAGGCTTAGATGGGATATTGGGATATTGGGAAGGAATTTCTGGCTGTGAGGATGGTGAGTCCCTGGCACAGATTGCCAAGAGAAGCTGTGGCTGCTCCATCCCTGGAAGTGTTCAAGGCCAGGTGGGACGGGGCTTGGAGCAACCTGGTCTAGTGGAAGGTGTCCCTGCCCATGGCAGGGGGTGGGACTGGATGGCTGTTAAGCTCCCTTCCCACCCAAACCATTCTATGGTTCCACGATTCTGTGATTCTATGAATGACCCACTGAGAGCTGAATTTCCCTTCATTAACTCCAAAATACATATTATTGTTTATGCCCTCACACATGCTAATGAAGCAAAAGCTGCACATGCTTCACATGTGCGACTAAGGTTGCTCAAACTCCACCTAAATATGAATTGACATTGACTGTAACTTTACTCAGAGAAAACACTACAAATACAGCTTAAGTGGCGAGAGAGGTGAGAGGTGACTCCAGCTTTGGATCCTGGGACAGTCACAGAATCAGAGAATCATGATTCCATGATTCAGTGCCTGTAAATCACTCTAGATAGTGGTAGGAGACACCTGTCTCACCTGGTGACACCTGAACTGGGCACAGGGACAGTCCCAGTGCTGCTGTCAGAAGAAATTTTTAAAATTTTATTACAAAGTGGTCCCTCACTCTAACCCCAGCCAGAGGGGGACGGAAACAGATGGGACACACAGGCTCCTTCGATACTGGCTGAACCTTTCCCAACAGATCTCCACTTCTGAAAAAACCCTCAGTAACTTTAGCACAGACACTGGAGAAAAGTTCTGGATCTTACAAGACTCTCAGCTGCTTCACCCCCTGTTTTTGCTGTATGAGCAACTGCTGCACTCTACGAGATCCAGCTGAGAATGATTTACTCAGGGTATCCAAAGTGCTGCTCGGGGTCCCTGCAGGAGGCCAGCACAAATAAGTGTGGGCTGGCACAACTTCACATACCCATTTTTCCATTCTCCGAGGACAGGTAGGAGCAAATAAACACCTCCTGCCACTTCCAATGGAAGAAACAACATTTACAGCAGTCAAAGTTATTTAATTTCACTCATTTTGAAAGAAAGAAAAAAACCTCAACCAAACAGAAACGTGAGTTTTAGAGGGTCTTTAGTGGACAGTGACATTCCCAGGGCATAGGCATGGCAATGAACAGACATTTCCATACGGATTGGTGGGAATGTATTGGTGTCCTCACCTCACCAATTCCCAAATATTATGAATGTATCCACATCATAATGACAGGAAAGAAGCATCACTGAATTAATGGACTGGGCAATCGTTATCTGGCCAAAGCAACCTCAGAACTACAGAACTTTCTTTTGGGAGAAATGAGACAGTGGTGGGTGGTAACATTTCCCAGGACAGGTTCATAGAATCTCAGAATGGTTTGGGTTGGAGGGACCTTAAAGGTCACCCAGTCCCACCTCCTGCCATGAGCAGGGACACCTTCCACTAGATCAGGTTGCTCCAAGCCCCATCCAACCTGGCCTGGGACACTTCCAAGGACAGGGCTGCCACAGCCTGTCTGGGCAGAGGGTAAAGTCCTGTCCAACCAGCTGATAAGCAGCTCCATTCCCTCATGTGATGAGCTCTCCCAGCGAGGGGGACTGAGTGAGCCAGCAGACAATTTTTTTTTGATTTTAGCAAAGCTTTGGATCCTGTCTCTCTCCGGATGCTTCTGGACAAGGTGCCCAGGGCAGAGCTGGACCATCCATCCTACACGGAGTGAGCATCTGCTCGACGGGCCGGGCTTGGGGTCACAGTGCAGGGGGTGACTTCAGGCTGGTGGCAGTCATGGCGGGGGGGGCCGGGGTCCATTTCAGGCCCAGCTCGTAAATGTCTTCATGGTCTGGATGCAGAAATCGACGTTCATTAACTGAGTCGGCCGATGATCCTGAATTAGGGGCTGTGGCTCCCCGGAGGGCAGAGGTCGTTCGGGGCACCGGAGGGCTGGGCGGGCACCGGCAGCGTGTGACTGAAAAACGGCGAGCGCCGGGGCGGCCCTGGCTGTGCCGGACGGGCGGGGACGGGGGAACAGGCGGGGACGGGGGGAACAGGCGGGGCCGGCCGCGCCGGGGCGGGAAGCAGGGCGGGCTGAGGGCGGCGGGGC